TGGTGAGCATGGAGATGCGGCCACTACTTGGGGGGGCGGGTGCACTGCGGGGGGGCATAGGAGTGGTGTCGTTTGCGTCTGTGAGAGTTGCTCCTGCCCTTCGTTGGCGTGCCTTCACACGGAGGCAGCACGTATTGCCGTCGTCATGCCCATGAGCGCAGAGGGCGTTCAGGTGGAGACTCCAAAGTTAGTGCGCCCAACAGACGGCTCGGCCGTTCACGACCCTCCTGTCACCCTGCTGAAGCAGCCGGTGAGAGTTAGCCAGCTGACCTTTCACCGCAGGTTGCGCTTGATCGAGCGGACGTACAAGTCGTCACCGAGTTCATTCCAGACCCTGACGACCCCAACGCGGACTCTGTTCTTCTTCATTGGCGACGACGTCTTCTTCTCGAGCAGACCGGCTTGATTCGGACCAAAAACCGGGCGTTGTTGGTTCTCATGGAAGGGATCAAGGCAGAGTCTCTGCTGAGCAATCCCGGACAGAGCCCCCCCCGTTGCCCTGGAAGATGGTCGGAGCTTCTTTACAGCCTCGGCACGCCGAAGTCCGTTCCTGATGATAGCAATATTATCCAGCATGGCAGTGCTCTAGCGGTGGTCAGAAAGCTTCTCCTGGGAGGAGTGGCGAATCTAGACGACCGTGCCGTCCTGGCTGAGCATTCTCCCATCTTGCGCCGATTGCTAGACCACTACGGGTCCACCTTCCCCACCTTCTTCCTCCCAACCCTCCACCATCTATATCGGCTCACACTATTGGGCCGCGGAACGGTCGGCCTAGGGGTGGGACGCGCTGGGATCACGCTCTCTACCATCGAGGGGCTAGACATCTGCGTTTGGTCAGCGCGAGACAGAGTAGAGCGGCCGCACGCATGGTCCGCGGACCGCCACCAAGCTTTTGCATTTTGGGAGGCGCGGGCAAATGCTTTGCTACCAGCGGTTGAGCAGCTGTCACAACCGGAAGCTGGGGTCTACCCGCTCTCAGTACCAGAGACAGCGCTTTGGAATGGGCGGCTAGGCCTAGAAGCAGGTGGAACCATCCCTCCCGATCTACCTCTCGATCATCCCTTCTGCAAAGAACAGCGCGCGCTTGGCTGCTATCCTCTGCCTGGCTGGGAACAGAAGCGCCCTCTGCCGCAGTACAGACCTTTTGAAGACGAGCTAGGCAGATCCATCGAACGGGCTGAAGAGCATCGATGTAGAGGGGGCTCACCGTGGGGGAGTTTGACGCTGAGGTCGCGATTCTTAGCAAGTCGAAGTCTGCTCAGCGTCTCCAGAAGCATACCAAAGGGGGCTTTGTGTTCTGCTGTCCCCACTGGGTAATTTATGGTTTTCATGCCATGCTTTGGGGGGAGTCGCCGCGCGATCCGTTTGCCGTGCTGTATACACGACTACATCGACACCATCTGCCTCGCTTTGTCTTCTACGACAACGCTTGCAAGCTGCGAGCCTACTGCATGCGACGCGAGCCGGCTTTTTTCACCGACGTTCGCTTCCTAGTAGACAGGTGAGATGGAGACACACTCTTTTTGACTTCTTCCGTATTGCCAACACACGACTTTACATCTCTTCAAACGTCACAAATCTGCAACCTTGGTTGGGGCACTGTGGTCTAGATTCAGCACACTTTGTATATGCCTTGAAACCGCAGAACCTAGACAAGTCCTACGGTCATAGAGCAAACTTTCGAGAATTTAGCCAGTCAAACGCATTGTCTGATCCCTGACGCCATGCTACCGTGCAACGAGGTTGATTGTTGTCTTGTGAGGTTGCTTTATGTGCACATTGGTTGGCTGACATTGTGAAGATGTTGTCCGTATGATCACTTCCATAAACGCGTTCTTCTTAAACTAATCTGATATTCGCGCAATGTTGCGTGCAGATTCCACTTTCAGCGAACTGGAGCGGAGGGACACAAGTTCGGACCAACATTCAATCCAGATTACTATGACGTAGTGCGTTGGGTTAACACTTCGGCTGTCGAGAGTTGCAATTCTTTTCTCATCAGGTTTAAGACGCTAGGCTGGTACTCTGGGCTCGAAGCTTTCATGATTATTCTAGCCAGTTTGGTGAGTGGCCGAAATTCAGAACTTGTGCGGGTAGATGACGCTAAGATGAGAGTAGCGGGTAACGTACGCTGGTGGACACCGTTTGTTCGATATTGCCTATTACATGTTTGAAAGATAGTCTTCTGGTTTGCAATCAAATGGCTGTCACCGAATCAATCTGATGAGGCAGGATGGGATTCGCAGACCAAAAGACCAGAAGCCCAAGATTCAATCTTTTTTATTCTACAGAGAGGCACTATGTCATAGTGTTATTCACTGGGAAACGAAATGAAAAAGATCTAGAATTCTGGTCTTCTGGTCTTTTGGTCTGCAATCATGTATTTGTCATTGATCTAGATCTCTAGTCTTTGAAACCTAGTCTTTTTGTCTGCAATCAATGAACTAATCCAATGAAGCAGAATAGGATTTGCAGACCAAAAGACCAGAAGTCCGAGATCCTAATTGTTTCTCATTTCACAGAGTGGCTCTATATGATTGTCTTATTCATTGAAAAATGAAATTGAAAAGATCTAGAATTCTGGTCTTCTGGTCTTCTGGTCTGCAATCATATGGATGTCATCAAACCAATCCAATGAAGCAACACGAAAGCCATGTAACATGCACGAGGTATCGCCGTTGCCCACTCATCCATCTGCCGTTTCATGCATAAAATCAGGTTTCAATCGCACGCCACTAAGACCCTTGAATTGCCCTCTATCTTGCACAGATCTATCCGTAAAACGACCGTCTTCGAGTCGATAGTTGGCTCCATCGGCATAGAGGAGGATGCGTTTTTTCGGGGCTTGAGCGGTCAGAGAACTAGAAATCTCCTCCTCCTCCTTCATCCAAGCTCGAAAAGCATCACCAAGCCTTTCTCCTAGAGCTAGATGCCATTTCGCACGTACACCCTCTTGCATCTCTTCAAACTCGCAACACTCCTCGATGAAACGTTTGCCAACATTGTTGTCGTTGACATACGCCTTCAAGGCGTCCTTCATAGCTTTTGGTCGTTTCTCCAGAACAAGAGCGCTTGGATTTGCTCGTTTCAACTCAAAGTAGCGCTTTGCCCTGGCTGCAATCGATGAAAGTCCATCTTCTCGACCCTCGTCGGACTTCAAATAAGCTTCCAAGGTAGGGTCTTTGGGCTTCTCTCTAGTTTTCCGCGGATCAACATCGTCGGCCGACTTGAAAGTCACTGTCATCGGAAGGAGGGCCATACGACGTACGAGACTAAACAAAGTGTTTTCCATGACGGGCTTGTAATTAGTGTTTAGAATGGCCTTATGGGACACCATAAAGGTCTCTTGCTTGCCTTGAAGCTCTCTTGCCGTGACGGAGCCGCCTCCAGACAACTCCTTGATTGTTGCTTCGTTAAGGACGGACTTTTTGCTCGACTT